CTCCTCCTACTGAAGCCCTCCCACCCACCCAAGTCCAGACGCCCGCTACTCATCTACCCCCCACTCGACGTCCCTCTCGAAAAGATGCAAGTGAGGCCACAGGTATGGGAGCACCCGAAGCGCCTGCGTACGGTGCACCCACTGCAGATTCACCTGTCGACGAATTCGAGGTGATAGATGACATTTCAATAAAGAAAAATCAGGGTACTCTTACGCGGGGCGGAACGGCTACAGCCGGCGAAACTAGCAGTGAAACTTCTGTGATCGGTGAATCTGAAGTTGTGGGCGGCTATGAAACACACAAAACTGGGGACAAACTTTTGCAAGAGGATTTGCAAAAGGGCACAGCTTCGGAAGAAGCTGCTCAAGGCCAGGGAGAGGATGTATCTAAGCCTTCTGAAGAGCTACTGAGAGAGGCAAAGGACCTCGATTTATCAATGGAGAAGTTTGAGAATGCGTATGCTTCAGCTTCGAAAACAGTGCAAGATGCATTTATACTGAATTATATGCCTGAATCGGCCAGAGGCCCATCCACCTCTCCTACTGATTTTTTTCGGCGGCAAGTGGAGATATCCAAGGTGGAGTGCCAAACTGGCAGGCTCACTTCCACAGAAAGTGAAAATGCACTGATGGATATCCAACTTGTCCGCAATATCTTGGAGGCAGCTTCATCCCGCATTGAGCTGCTACGCGAGCTTGAAATGCTGTGTGATAGCTCGGGCATCGGCTCTGCGCTGCTTGGCAAGAAAGCGGTGCCACTACCTCCAGCGGGTGCACTTGCTTCAGACCCCAACCAAGCTACCTTCGAAGACTTTACTCTGATGCTTAAGGGGTTCAAATTTCGTATCAATGAGGCTGCTTTGGCAGCCGCAGGGACGGTCCCTGTGGTCCTGGCACAACGACTCGCTGCCTCCGTCAAGTTGGAAACAGCGCAGCTAGAGAATGACCGAAAGGTGCACTCTAGCTTCCAAAAGTTCATCCTATCACTCCCTCAGGATAAGCAGCAATTGTGCATCGTGCATGCAAACGCAATATTTGGCGTCGAACCGTTCTTTCAAGTTATTGGCAGGGCTATCTTTGACAGAGAGGCAAATATTCTGACTGCAGATGCCCTCGGTTCCTGGGTTGTCGATTGGAATGTAGAAGGGATCCTAGAGCGATTACGGCTCAACGAAGAGGATGTTGGGAAGTTGCTTGGAATGCGGCCAAACTCTTACAAAGCAACTTCAATAGATGACATGTTTGCAGCTGCCACTGCACTCATCTAGCCCTGGATCGTCAAGCTACCAACCCTCCTCTATTTGCCGGAGCTTCAAAACTGGCTTTCTCAAGCTGTTCACTGGTGAGGTGTGTTGGAAAGGTGGACCCATGCTCAGCGATACGCTCGTTCGTCATGCTATCACTGGGATTCTGCGGGGATCAGGCGTTCGATCCCGATGCCTAGCAACAGGCTGCTGCACAAGGAGGCGCTCACGGTGTCACAGCTGTCATGGTTGTCAATGCAGTATTTGGGAGAGGTCCCGCACTGCTGCAGTCTCTCAACTTCATGTATCGAAACTCAAGATGAACCCAACGGTAGTGGTGCCCCATACCGAAATGCTGAACACGCGACTGTTGCAGATTCTCCCCCCTAATATCCATGCTGTTGATATCCTTCCAGCCGGATTCTCCCTCCCGTGCCGAGATGATCAAGGAACGCGTCGGCGTTACACGATTTCCCGAGGAAGGGTTAGATAGTGTCCAACGGATATCTACATGTTCCGTGCCTGTCCAAGATCCCACGATTTGAATATTTCTACTTCTGTTGGCAATTAGGAGCAAAAGGTCCGTATGTCGCGCTAAAAGACCCTGCGTTGTATGAACCGATGAGGTGAACGGAGTTCATGGTTCCGCCGCCGAACACGGGCGTTTCCCACACTTACTCGGAGCTGCTTTGCCCATGTTAGTAGCTTATCAAGACTTCCTACACCATGCACACAAACACTAAAGGAAGGTGGCGCTTGTCGCAGTTAATAGAGTCTACCATGCTCTAAAATTCCCGCGTCGTGGCGGGTTGCGTCATCGCCGCTGGCAGCCTGGAGGCGGGAATCCCTTCTTGCAATCCCTGCTGCCCCCAGCTTAGTTGTAGAAATATTCTCTCCACACATGTTTTTTAAGAGGTGATAGTGAACTGTTTTTGCGTGGGGAGGCCCATGTGAACAAAGGCAGCCGCGCAGCTGGCAACATGGGGTAGTTGCACTTTCCTATTGAGAAAGGTTCTAGACCCCTAATAGCTAGAGCTGCACCGCACATAAAGGATATGGCTCCGTACATGTGCTTTGCCATTTCGGTTTTATTCAACTGGCACATCAGGCCCCTTGGGTCCTCCCGTTTTAATGCTCATTTGCGTGCTCGTGACGATGGATAGATACAAAAACCGCCTAATGTCACCCGCATTCTGCTTAGCTGGGTGTATGTCATGTACCAACAGCACACGGAGGATCACAAGGACCAGCTGCTGAGGGAGGTAAGGGAGATTTAATGTAGCTGCAGAGCTACAGCAATTGTAAACACAGCTAGGGAAGTTGTTTATGCGTGGACCTGGCCCTGCCCTGCGGCATCAGCGGCAGCAATATGCGTTGGAACAAGGTTGGCCGCATTATCTCCCTCAGCACTAGGCGCTTGAAGCGGTGAACTGAGGACGTCTCATCTTCAGTATCTTGGCCACAACGCAACTCAAAACGATCCTCGGAGAACATCGAGGATCCGTATTCCAAATGAGTACATGCCGCATCGCAGACCACTACATCGGGGACCTTATGGTACCTCTATCTAAAAGCAGTTCGTGTAACCTGGACCCTTCTCAGCCTTCTTTGGCACTTCTCGACACTCAACCCAGCAGCCGCTAGCCGCACCGGTTTAGAACACTTCCTCTCCGCGCCGGACGATGCGTAGCAATTAGTTGTACGCAAGCTTTCGAAAACTTCATGTTGTATTTACTAGCAGCTAATAAATGCTGATGGCACTTGCTCCCTCAAACTGCTCATTGCGCATGCCTGCATCCACCATACCGGGGGGCCCTCAGTGACCACCCGGGTAGGGACAAGCAAGGTACGGCTACCAGAAGGAAGTTTTAAGACTTACTCAGGGGGCATAGTTTGTTGAAATTGTTGTATTTTCGTTATTCAGACGGTCCGCAAATTGCAAGGCTTGTATCCCGCGAAAGCAGCGGCGACATTTTCCGTGGGGGACAGCTGTAGGTGTAAACAGCGTTGTGACAGCAGCAGTTAGTGTAACTTTCATCCTACCGTTGTTTTCAAAAGGAATTCTTGTGCAGCTGCGATCCATACACGGCATCTACGTCGCGTTATTGCCCACTATATTTGTTGGGAGCACGAGTTATGTTGTAATAGTGAGGCTGCCGATTCTAAGGTCAGCGCAGAAGTGAACCGATCTTCTACATCGAAGCTGTCTAGGGTGGGGTTCTAGCAGATGAAGCTGAGATTCCGCATCTTTTTCTGTTGAACGCCTGCAGTGGGAGGTTCATCTGTTGAGCCCAGTTGCGGCTGAGGTTGCTCTGGAGCCCGTGTGCCCGTTTTCGGGTTAGCAGGGCTTGGTTGTGCTGCGGTTCCTGAGGTGAACCTGCGACAGTCTCTAGACCGCCAATCGACGAGGAGCATGCCTGTCTGCACACTTTCAGACCTCCGCAAGGAGGATGAGCAGCGCACCAGAGATATGGAGAGGGGAGAGACTTCACCTCTGCTGAGAGGTAAGCAGGCTGCAGCGACCGTCGGCTGGGTACTGTGGCACCTGTCAACTTATGTTATTAAATGATGGACTGTAGTTCTACCCGAAATGTTGCCGTAGAAACATTGCTGTAGCGGCGAAGGGCTCTTTACAACGCGCGGGAGCTGTTTCAATTAGTAAGATTGTTGAACTATTCTTCTCCGTATTACTGTCCTGGTCTGTGTGCCATGGCAGCTGAAACGCGAAGCACGGATAGCAACGTGACCAGTGGGGAGTCCACCTCTGTGCGCCGGACGACGGCGCTGAGGGTGCTCGAATTGCTGTTTCCCTACTTCAGGCTGCGCTCCCTGCTCCTCCTTATTTCAATAGCGGACTGGGCGGTGTTTATTACAACGCTTGCCATGGACTCAGAGATGCCCCTTGTCCCTTCAAGTAAGGCTATCCGGAATTGCCGGACCTGCAATACGGCTCGGCAATCAGCATGGGCTGCATATTGGTTACTCTTAGCTTTGTATGCCACAGGGTTTCGAATCCGGCCTCCTAACTTCTTTCGTATCCGTACTATGTTCCTCCTTCAGTATCCCTCGTCCTAATCTTTTCGTGTCCTTTCTTGCATCCCGTTCATCATGTTGCTAAATAATGACTACGTAATTGTGCTCACGCCTGCGTACTTTGTTCGCAGCCTCGATCCTTGTTACATTTGGAGCGAATGTGCCCACTTTGGTGGCAAAGGGCCAGGTTTGGAGGCTGCTTACAGCCTCCTTCTTGCATGCTAATCTCCTGCACGTGGCCTTCAATGTGTTCTTCCAGATGAGGATGGGTTTTGGCATCGAGCGACGCTACGGTTACCTCAAGTTTGCTCTGTTGTACGCTGCATCTGCTGTGTACGGCAACCTCCTCTCAGCTGCAGCTCTTTTCTGTGGCGCGGTGAAAGTTGGCGCCAGCACCGCAGGCAAGCCTTCATTATCCAAACGTATCCGCCCAACTCAGACAGCTTTTCTCTTCATATTACTGTGCATGCATTATGCATTAGTGAAAGGTTCACACACGTTGACACACACCTGTCGGTGGCTCTAGTAGTAGCGCAAAGGGAGGCACTTGGGCACGTCTGTATTGACGCATGGATTCGCATATCGAGATAAACGCGAGTGTAATGTAGATATCCTGGAGAGTTAATCAAACCCACATGACCTGCATAGTGGAATGCACGTATGCGCTATCATGCCCATTCATTGCTGGTGCTTGCCATCCCGATCCATAAGCGTAGTGTGGTGCCTCCAAAGGAACGTCAGCTAGTAACTACAGACTAGTAGCAGAAAGGCATATGTCTTCCAAGTTGTGGCTTCTCAGTTCGGTGGATTCGATGAAGCCCGGTTCTTTCGGTTCAGATCCGTTCATTACGTCAGCTGAATTCGCTGTCTCTCTACAGGGTTTGGGATGATGGGAGTGGAGATCGCCGAGCTGGCACTGAGCTGGCAGCGACTGCAGCACAGAGACCGTCTGCTAACAAACATTGTTTCCTTCTTTGTACTCATGGGGCTCTTCGCCTTCACGCTTAACGGCGGTTCAATTGACCAGATGGGTCACCTGGGAGGGTTAATATGCGGTACGGCACTAGAGCACCTTTCGGGTTCCCACTCCGTTGCCAAGAGTCCCCATTTGTTGCACAGGCATAGATGAGACACCTTTTCCTGGTTGTGCTAGGTTTTTCCTCAGCTCCGCGCAGCAGTGACGTTTGCATTATCACTCACACTCATGTCTCTCTTCGTTGTTTGCAGGTTTCTCGCTTGGCATTCTCTTCAACAAAGATATGTTGGAGAAGCCTGGGTGGTGGAAGTTGGCGTTTTGGGGCTCCATATTCTTGCTCATTGCTCTACCGGGGTCGTGCATTCCGGTTCTTTTCGCGGTTGATAGGGGATGCAGTGCATAAGCCCTGCAGGAGCACCTGCTTCTGCTGCACCTGAAGCATCACCTGCCACAGTTGACCATCGAGGGAATGCGGCGACACAGTTGAGTTTATAGTGGAGGTTTCACTGGACCTCCAGTGGAGCCGCAGCTGACATTATCTCTCAAGAGTAGCATCCTGTGCTTTGTAGCCACAGTTTGCCAGCCTTTTGCACGATTCCTAGCAACACCCATTCGTGGCAACAAGCTTAGAGTAAAGGCACCTCCATTCTGCTGTCTCATGGTGCTAAGAGCACAATGGATAGCAGTTAGTATCTCTGACTCACGGGAATGTGCCAGTCTTTTGTTTCCCGAGACTTGTTAAGCTGCGGCACTCTGCAGTATGTGCTCTGAAGCATGGCGTATGCTGTTCACGCTGGAAGAGGTTGCTGGCCATGAAAGCTTACCTCCCCAATAATTCGAAGCTGTTTGAATACTGCAGATGTCTACCTACAGTATTCACCAAATGTGGCAACCGTGCAGTTAAGAAAACAGGAGGTATGGAGCTTCAGACGGCAGTGGTCGCTAGTAGACCTATCGAAATATGCTTTAACACGCAAAGGGAAGCGGAAACCTGTTTTGTACACTGGACCATAGCAGAGATGAACAGGGTGTGAGGGTACGCTTTAAAATTGGGTCGATTATAGCGCCGGCACACAGGCATAGACCAGAGTAAAACGTCTTAAAGCAGGTGCATGTATCCACGCTTGTGTATTGAGCGTTGATTGCCAAAGGGCAAGCACTGCTGGCAGTCCCTGTTAGGTTTGCTCCCGTTCCGTTTGGAAGGTTTAAGGCATTCTATTTCCGGAGACTTCCTCCTGAATCCCGCAAGGACGTTTCGTGGACGGCGTGGAATCCGCTGAGGAAAAGCGGCCCCTACCTACGTCCCTGTGCGTACGCTTCTCACTGCGCTCGCCGGCATAGGCTCACATGTTCTGTATTACTCAGAGGCTATATCGATCGCTTCACCTGTGTGTGTAGCATTACGTTAGGACGCGACGTTTGGTGCCCATATTGTTGAGATATTCGGCTTTCCTGCATGTTTGCCATAATATCCATCAGCAGACTAAGCAATTCTGCAGAGTGGCTACCGACTATATCTACACTTCATCTTCAGTTCCACGAATATCTCATGCGGCTGACCAGCAGCCTGTGAGCAGCCCAACAGTATATCTGCAACTGCTCCTGCGGCTGTTGCAGCATCGGTACACAGCGACGGCAACAAACTGCCTCCCCTTGTGGGCTCTAGCTGCGAATCCACTTGACAGAGGAGCACCCGCGGAGCCAGCAAATTCGCTCCCGTCAATCCTGCTGCTGACGCCAGCATGCCGTACTCTTTTAAGGGCCAACCTCTATTCCCAAACGAGCACTGTGCCGTCTCTACAACCTGCAAACAATCTGCTGCTGCTGCTACTCCAGGATAGGCAGCAAATTTCTGCATCAGCACAGTGGAGTACTTGGGGGTGCCCCTCATCGTCCTTTTGTTGCGGTTGCTGCATCCGCAGGGCTAGAAGATTCTCGACGTCTCCGTCAACAGCAGTGCTGCGACCTTTCGCTAAATCTTCAGCTGATTCCACTAACTGGCGTGTCTGAACACCGGCGGAGTGCTGCATGTTCCACACGAGGAGATAGTTACCAGTAGCCGCTGCTAGCATACGGCCACAAGGGGAGAAGCACGGGGACGCAACAACCGTGTTGCGGCGCAGCAGGGGATGTGCTAGGACCACCTGTTGCTCCCGTCGGTGCTGCAGCAGCATCCGCAGGTCCCACAGCTGCACTGTCTTGTCCTCACCGAGGGTGCATACAGTGTGTCTGTCGTTGGAGATAGCCAAGCCGACGATTGCCTCCGAGTTGTGCATTGTATGGGACACGATATCTGGGACCCAAAATCCGTTGCTGCCCTTGCTTTTACCGCTGCACGGGCTGGAGGGACTAAAGACGCCAAGCGTTCCGTTGCGGTGACCTACTAGCAACAGCCCACTCTCCGCTGCTGCTGCTGCTGTCGGGCGCGACAACAGAACTGCAGTGCGGCTGCATGCGCTGCGGTGCAAATCCCACAAACGCACCGATCTGTCATTTGCCACGCTCCACGCAGCACTAGCTGGTGCTGTGGATGCTGCTGCCATTGTTGTTGTGTCTCCTTGAGGCTGCATGAAGCCACACGCAAGGATTGAGCCGGCATGCGCCTTGAGGGTCTCCACCACCTTCCCCCTGGGCAGCTGTGCTACGTACAAGGTGGCGTCCATACAACCAACCAGTGCCACAGCCTCCTGCTGCTGCTGCTCCTGCAGCGGCGCTGGAACGTTTGGTTGGTGTCTCAGCAGCAAATCTACAGCAGTGCATGCAGCCCTCAGCGGAGAGGGAACGAAGGAATAGAGGCTTCTTCCAGAGGCAGCAGCGCGCACAGCAAGGGTTCCGTCTGCGCCCCCAGAGACGAACAGCTCTGCTGCCCTTGCGTCTCCTGCAGCTGCCGTTGTCCTGCAGCAGCAACAGAGGGCTGCTCCAGTGTGCATTCGAGCTGACTGCACCAGTCGCAGAGGCGGCCGACATCTTCCCAGTGGTCCTCGGCTAGCCGTGCTGTTTCTGCGGTTGCTGTTGCTGTTGCTGTTGCTAGGTTCTGCATCAGCAGCACGCGTTTCCGGGATTGCAGCTTCTGCAGCACGGGCTGCAGCTGACGTGGGTGTAGCACCGGTAAAAGCAGAAACTGAACCAGAAACTGATGCCTTCACTGCTGCTATTGCTTCCTGGTGCTGCTGCCCGGTACATGAACAGACAGCTGCCGCTGCAGTGTCCCTTGTCGGCTCAATAGTAGAAACAGATGTGGCAATAGGACGATCGGCGCTCGCCTGTGGTGCTGCTTGGATTTGCTGCTGCAGCAGCTCGAGAGAGGCCGCTTCGGCTTGCTTGTAGCGCAGCAACTCTCGAAGGTAGCCTTCGGTCTCCAATGCTTTTGCTGCAACTTCCTGCTGGGCCTTCTGCACAGCTTGCTGCTGCTGCTGCTGCTGCTGCACAAGGAGCAAGCAAGTCCTGCGTGTAGCTGCTGCCTGAGCCTCTTTCTCCGACACCTCCTCCTCCTTCTCTCTCAGCAGCCGCTGTTGGTGCAGCAGTTCTCGGTCTTTTTCGGCCAGTACCTGCTGCTGCTGCTGCACTTGCTGCTGCAGCAAAAGCAACTGCGTTTCGAGGTGCCGTCGGTGCTTCTCATATTGACGCTGTGCTGCTGCAGCTGCTGCCTGAACCGTCCTTACCTGCTGCTTGAGTACTGCTGCGTCTTGGCCGCTCTGCACCAGCAGGCGTTGCTCTGTCAATAGCGAACTGGTGCCAGCCGCACCAGATACTCCTTCCTGTGCTGCTGCAGCCGAGCGGACAGCCAGAATAGATGCATGGCTCGCTATGAGCCGGCGATTTTCTTCTAGTGCCGTAGCGTGAGCTGTACAGACATCAGCAAACCACTCGTGCTGCAGCAAGTGTTTAATTCTAGCCCTTCTTAGGAAGACCTGGCGCCAAAGTGGAAACCCTCCTGCAGCCGCTGCTCCAGCTGATGTCTTGAATTGTCTCGGCTCATCCGATGCTGCTGATGCTGCCGCTGTAGCAAGTGCTGCTGTGTCTGCTATATCGACGGCAAAATGACTCATAGCCATTACCGCTGGCTTGTCATTGCTGGTTTCGCTGTTTGGGGGTCTGGTATGTTGGTGTGAATGCCCTCCGCCTCTTCCGTTGCCGATATTGCCCCCACTGCTGCTTCTTGTTGTTGTTAGCGCTGCCGGATGGATTTCGCTGCTCGTAATTTAAAATCAGCAAGGGTGGTGCAGGTTGCTGCTGTTGTTGTTGTAGCAGTAGCAGTAGGAGCAGGAGTAGTAGTAGTAGCAGTAGCAGCCGTATTAGTATTAGTATTACTGTTAGTAGTCGTAGTCGTAGCAGTAGTAGTAGTAGTAGTAGTAATAGAAGTAGTAATAGAAGAAGTAGTAGTAGTAGTAGAAGTTGTAGTAGTAGTAGTTGCTGTAATAGTAAAAGCAGTAGTCCTGGTAGTAACAACGATAAAAGTGCCGGATTTGGAATTACCCTCTAATACATCTGCTCCTGCCGCAGTCACCGTTGCAGCTTTTGCTCTCTGTTGCCACTGTGGTCTCCCTTGGCGAGCAAGGCCTCCTACATTTACAGAGGGGCCTGTTACATGGAAGCCCTCCACCTGGATCAGCCTTGCCTATCCTGGCATATAGACAAGTATGTGGAAGAGGGTTTCAACGACCCAACTATAAAGAAGCTGAAAAAATAGGTGAAAAGATGGAATATGGGTACACATTAAAGCTGCATCGGCCAATTCTTGACACAGACAGCCCCCTTGCGGCAGAGCGTGTAGTTGCCGGAGCAGCCGTCGTCGTAGACGGTCTAGTTGCCGTTGTTATTTCTTCTGTGCTGCTAACTTTTAGTGAACATTTTTGGGTGTTTCATGCTCTCTGGGATTGATACAGCTCATTTGTTTGTGGATTCCCTTAGATCTTCGGACCTCCTGCGTGGAAGGTGTGCGCTGACTGGGTTGCCGACGAACGTTTGTTTGGGCCTTGCTGGAGCTAATATTGGGAAACTACGGCTACTCATGAACCCTTCTCGGTTTCTGAGCTACGTGTACCACCTATAGCCTTCCACAGGCAGTTGAACCGTGAAGGCGAACGCTCACAGATGACCAGTGGAAGTTCCTACTGTGGACTGAGTGGAATCTAGGACCTCGTAGGTGGCTCTTCCTAAACCTCGTAGCTTATTTCTGGGCCTTTATGCCGGTGCTTGTTTATATGGACAGGAATGGTCACGCTGTGCTGCGAGAGGGTGTGGAGGCTACCTAGCTCCCTTGTTAACTTGGTGGCAAAGAATAAGGGAGCCACCGACAAAGCAGCGAATGCTGCTTTGTCAGTGGTTCCCTACCGTGTCTTGGAGGATTAAAAAATAGAGGCATGCCAAGGCAAAGACATATATTTATATTTAAATACAGAAAAGGGGACAAAAAACCCGAAGGGCAGAAGGAAAGAGAGGCAGAGTACACAGTAAAGGAGAAATATATATATATATATATATATATATTAT